TCTCTTATTACTGCTCATGTCTGAGGGCTCTCTTGTTAGTTCTCTTATTACTGTTCAGGTCTGCTGGCTCTCTTATTACTGTTCATGTCTGCTGGCTCTCTTATTACTGTTCATGTCTGCTGGCTCTCTTATTACTGTTCTTGTCTGCTGGCTCTCTTATTACTGTTCATGTCTGCTGGCTCTCTTATTACTGTTCATGTCTGCTGGCTCTCTTATTACTGTTCATGTCTGCTGGCTCTCTTATTACTGTTCATGTCTGCTGGCTCTCTTATTACTGTTCATGTCTGCTGGCTCTCTTATTACTGTTCATGTCTGCTGGCTCTCTTATTACTGTTCATGTCTGCTGGCTCTCTTATTACTGTTCATGTCTGCTGGCTCTCTTATTACTGTTCATGTCTGCTGGCTCTCTTATTACTGTTCAGGTCTGCTGGCTCTCTTATTACTGTTCAGGTCTGCTGGCTCTCTTATTACTGTTCAGGTCTGCTGGCTCTCTTATTACTGTTCATGTCTGCTGGCTCTCTTATTACTGTTCATGTCTGCTGGCTCTCTTATTATTGCTATCGTTTGTTAGCTCTCTTATTACTGTTCAGGTCTGCTGGCTCTCTTATTACTGTTCATGTCTGCTGGCTCTCTTAGTACTGTTCTTGTTTGTTCCCTCTCCTTTTACTGATCACGTCTGCTGGCTCTCTTATTACTGTTCAGGTCTGCTGGCTCTCTTATTACTGTTCAGGTCTGCTGGCTCTCTTATTACTGTTCAGGTCTGCTGGCTCTCTTATTACTGTTCAGGTCTGCTGGCTCTCTTATTACTGTTCATGTCTGCTGGCTCTCTTATTACTGTTCATGTCTGCTGGCTCTCTTATTATTGCTATCGTTTGTTAGCTCTCTTATTACTGCTCATGTCTGCTGGCTCTCATATTACTGCTCATGTCTGCTGGCTCGCTTAGTACTGTTCTTGTTTGTTCCCTCTCCTTTTACTGATCACGTCTGCTGGCTCTCTTATTACTGTTCAGGTCTGCTGGCTCTCTTATTACTGTTCAGGTCTGCTGGCTCTCTTATTACTGTTCAGGTCTGCTGGCTCTCTTATTACTGTTCATGTCTGCTGGCTCTCTTATTACTGCTCATGTCTGCTGGCTCTCTTATTACTGCTCATGTCTGCTGGTTCTCTCATTACTGCTCATGTCTGCTGGCTCTCTTATTACTGCTCATGTCTGATGGTTCTCTCATTACTGCTCTTGTCTGATGTATCTCTTATTACTGCTTATGTCTGCTGGCACTTTTATTACTGCTCATGTCTGCTGGTTGATACCTGGTTGATGGGGTTCTGGGAGTTCTACTCCCCAAGCCTGGCCTCGGGCCGGGCTTGGGAAGTAGAAGAACTGCCAGAAGCCCATCAAGCATTTCCTCTATTTAACCCTCCTTCTATTCAGCAATCCCTCTATTCCAGCAATCTCTCCTGCTCTGAAGGACGAAGTGAGTACTGAGCAGTACTCAAGACGGGACAACACAAGTGACTTGAAGAGTACAACCATTGTGATGGGATCCCTGGATTTGAAAGTTCTCGTAATCCATCCGATCATTTTTCTGGCTGACACAATATTTGCTTGGTTATGCTCCCTAAACGTTAGATCGTCGGACATCATTATTCCCAAATCCTTGACATGCTGTTTTCCTACTATGGGCAGATTCGATTGTGTTTTGTACTCTGTATTATGTTTCAGATCTTCATTTTTGCCGTATCTGAGTACCTGGAATTTATCACTGTTAAACATCATGTTATTTTCTGCTGCCCAATCGAAAACTTTGTTAATATTTGTTTGTAGTTTTTCAATGTCTTCAGCAGAGGTAGTTTTCATGCTGCTTTTTGTATCATCTGCATAGGATGATACGAAGCTGTGACTTGTGTTTTTTTGTCTATATCTGATATGAGAATAAGGAACAGCAGTGGTACAAGGACTGTACCTTGAGGTACAGAGCTTTTAACTGCGCTCGGACTCGATTTTATTTGATTGACTGTTACCCTTTGTGTTCTGTTCGACAGGAAATTGAGTATCCAGCGTCCACTTTACCAGTTATACCCATTGACCTCATCTTGTGTTATCACTCCATGGTCACAGTTGTCGAATGGTGCAAATATAAGGCAATATTACTGCTCGTCTGCTGCTCTCTTATTGCTTTTATCCGACACTCTTACTACTCTTGTCTACTGACGCTCTTAATGACAGTTCTGGCTCTTTTACTGGTCTTACCTGCTGTCTGCTGCTGATGCCAGTGCTGCAGAGGTAGACATGGACGTGGGGTTGTTACCATAGTATGCTGATACTCTCCTTGTGTCACACGAACCATTAACAAACACCACATGTTACTGGTAGGGAACATTGGATTTGGAGTTAAGGTGCGCATTATTATGTGATGAGGCTTCTCTCAGTTTCTGTCTTATTCAGTTGTATATTTTGTTATGACCAAAGAAAGAATGGAGCTCAACGGGGCTTTGTTGTCACTTCCGTCATCGTGTCACGTGACATGTGTTAGTCAACGTCACAGTCAACATTAAAGTTACTTGTGGTTGAGAGCTGAAAACTCTACCAGTGAACGACGAGCGCATTGACATAATGCTTGAGCTCTTCGGATTGGTGGGTAAGGAGCTTAATTACCTTCCAATTACAGTAGCGATACTACTACACTTGATTATGGTACGAAGTCTAATTTAGAGCCACTTAACGGACACACGAGCTATCCTGGAAGTCAGTTTCGTCAAGAGTGAGAAATTAGATCCTCACTGACCGCTGACACAGAGAAACTGTCATGTCAGCCGTGTGTTAATCTCAAGGAGCAAAGCATAGTTGGTAGCCAACGAGCACACGGTTGAATATTTCGGCGCTGCCGTAGTCGGCATTCCGACAACCACCAAGTCTGCCAGCCCAGCAGGGAGGTAGACACTTATCGTGCTTGTGAGAATATGATTGCAATGTGGCGGTGTGAGTGTAAGCATCATGGCAACCCCTTAGTGAAAACGACCACAGGAGGATCCTTGTATTGATCTGTGAACATTCTACACTAGTGGACACGGGAGGCGTAGTTATATGGATTCTCACCGGCATCACACACCATATATCTCAGCCTTGTTAACTATTTCAGCCCCAAGGAACACTTAAGTGTATGAGATCGTATGCATCATGAAACTGTCTGAGCTGCGGCGAGTTCGGTGAGCGCTGACACTCTACCCCATTAACAGAGAAGACAACATTCATGGAGTTATTTAAGGTATTCTCATGGACTTCAAATTTTGCAGTACACTGTATAGGTAAACGGCAAATGTATTATTTAGTATAGATGAGTTACTATTGTTCGTCTATATCTAGCAATGAAAACAAAAACGTTTTGATTAAGGATTGTTATTGTTTAAAACGCAGCGCTCACCATTAGGCCAAGTTAAATTTTAGTGCTATACAGTATATAGCCAGTATGTTGACATTTAATCATTATGAAGTTGTAATTAATTTATAATACGAGAGAGAGAGGTACGTGACTTATCCAGGAATGGATTTGAATGTATTTCTTGGTGACCGGGGGTCACCCATTTTTTTATCTTGAGGTTATCTTGAGATGCTTTCGGGGCTTTTTTTAGTGTCCCCGCGGCCCGGTCCTCGACCAGGCCTCCACCCCTAGGAAGCAGCCCGTGACAGCTGACTAACACCCAGGTACCTATTTTACTGCTAGGTAACAGGGGCATAGGGTGAAAGAAACTGCCCATTGTTTCTGGCCGGCGCCTGGGATCGAACCCAGGACCACAGGATCACAAGTTAAGCGTGCTGTCCGCTCGGCCGACCGGCTCCCCTTTATGTGATTGTGCGTTTGCTGTTTAAGTATTATGCCTTTGTCTTCAATTTATGACAAGTTTTAAGTGTTCGTGTCATAGTGGGAAATGTTACTGATCGCCAATAACCAGCCCTTTGTAGATGAGGGAAGCCTACTGACCATACAGTTCTTGCAGTGTTAACTAACAAATGTAGTCTATTAATGTGGCTGCAACATCATATTACGTTTCGTTGTGTATCAGTAAAATCTAGGTATTAATGTATAACTAGGCTATACCGTTCAGTGTTCATTTCACCCATCTGGACGTAAGGTGCATCATCAACATAAAGAATTCTGGCATAACTAGTAATCTGGTTTCACTGTGGAATTAAAAATGTTGGTGTTGAAGGGACAGCATTGCTCAGGATTAGGTCATTTGAGGATGTTGTATCCACAAAATACTAGCAATGATATGTATTAAAATATAATTCATGTATATCACTATTGTGGTTAAGGATATTGAGAACCATTAACTAATACATGTTATAAGAAGTATGACACCTTTTGTAACAGCTGGCTTTACTGGTTTGTACTAAGACAATACCCAATGACATAATGTATGTGTTGCTGTGAGAGAGATCCAGCTCAAGCCATTACCGGATCAAAGCTACACATATATCAGCAGATTGCTGGGAAATTATATATTTCTTAAGAGTCAAGAGGTTGAGAGTGAGTTTAGGTGTGTTTGTATGTACGACACTTACATGGGACCGTAAGATTGTGGCGAATAATCGGAGTTGATCTCTGTTTAGATGAGTTATATCATCGTTTGTGCACCGTGATCTGCTACTCTCAGGTGAAGAGTCGTTACCTTAGGTTAGTGGCAGTCAGGGAGTGAAGAGGGTGTCAGGGAGTGAAATATGTTCGGCGTGTACATCTCAATTGCCACGATTTTGATGTTCAATTCCTGTAGTTATGGATACATTTATATGCTATCCTTTGTCAAAAATCTACCACTTAAAATTACTTGTTAGTTATAATTATGGATGGACCTCTATATAATCCCTGACCGTACAAGGTGGATGCAGTCTTAGCGTATTCCTAGTTTCCAAAACTAATTTCCATCACAGGTTATTGTAAAGGTTAGAGGGTGGAGTGGTTGCCGTAGTGGCAGACAGGGGGCCGAAATGGTTACCGAGACTTACCTGGTGGCGGGAGGGGGTGGGCCAGGTTGGGGTTGACTGGGTGTAGGAACGGAGACTGTGGGAGACCGAAGCCCTGGTGGGCCGAGACAGTGACATCGAAGATATCTCCAGGGCCGCCTGCATCGTAGGGCACCACCGTGCCTGTGATGATGTGCCCGGGCCGGTACTGTGGGTCGTCCAGGACCACTCCTGGTGATGGCCGGTACTGTGGGTCGTCCATGACCACCCCTGGACGAGGCTGGGGCGGCGCGGGGGTGGGAACCCACAACGTGGGGGTGGCTGACGACGGTGAAGTGGATCTTGCGGTGGTAGAAGGGACGTGTGGGTCCCCCTGGAGGTCCCACGACGACCTGATGGTGGTCGACGACGACTCCAGCATGGACGGCTGCAACTCGGTCTCCGTCGAGGTCTGCTGGGTTGGGGCCGCCGTCATCCAACTGGTCGACGCGTCTGGCACACTTGTTGATAAGCTGGTCGACGCGTCTGGCACACTTGTTGATAAGCTGGTCGATGCATCTGGCACACTTGTTGATAAGCTGGTCGACGCGTCTGGCACACTTGTTGATAAGCTGGTCGATGCATCTGGCACACTTGTCGATTGAATGCTTGAGGTATCTGTTACACCTGTAGGATCACTGGGTACAGTTACACCTGTTAATACCTCCGTTGACGCACTGCTCGATGCATCTGTTGGCGCACTGGCCAATACATCTGCTGACGCAGAGGTTGATGCATCTGTTACACCTGTAGCGTCGCTGGTGACGTCCGCCCCGCTGGCCGACACCTGAGAGGCATCTAACGTTAGGGACGACACCACCTCTGACGACGACAAGGTTGTGGTGGAGGATAGTGTGGTAAATGTGGTAAGTGTGTGTGTGTGGTGTTGGAGTGTAGTGGTGTGGGTGAGGGGCACGGAGGAGTGTGGCGGGTGTGACGGGAGGTGGGTGTATCCTGACGGTACACCGTCCATAGTGTCGTCGCCGTAGTCTTGGAAGACGGGGTTGACAGTAATTTCCGGCGAGGTATCGTATATTTCCTGAGAATCTGGGAGGAGGTCGACAGGGAGAGGGATGCCGGTGGCATAGGGCCGCTGGAGGGGCGGGATAGGTCGGCTGGCCAGGGCAGGGGGCGGGATAGGTCGGCTGGCCAGGGCAGGGGGCGGGATAGGTCGGCTGGCCAGGGCAGGGGGCAGGGAGGCCATGAAGGGTGGCAGGGTATTGGCCACAAACTGGGGCTTGCCCGGCAGAGGGCGCAAGTTGGCCATGTTGACGGGCGGGGTGACAGGCGCCCTGATGGGTATCTGGGTGTGGACGGAGGAGGAGAGGACGCCGAAAGGCAGCTGTGTGAGCCTCGGGGGCCCGCGGTTGTTGATGCGGGTGCTGGAGACGCCATCAAAGGTGGTCAGGCGGGTATTGGGCACGTCTGCTGCGGTCACCTTCACATTCCCGCCCAGCAGCTGCACGATGCCCTTGATGATGTCGTCGATGTCGGGTTCTGGGTTCGACTTGCGGTTAGCCTTCCTGAGGTCCGTCGGGAGTCGGGAGTCCCCGTCCATGAAGGTGGAGAAGGCATCTTCAGGGTAGAGAGACGGGAACCCGCGGTACTGGTCGGTGGCCGCCAGGTCGTTGAGGTGCGCAGGCGTGGCGCGCAAGTCGGCCGACACCGTCCGTGGGAACCGGTGGCTTGTTCCCACTAGTTGACGCGGCGGCTCCTTGTCGTAGTAGACAGTCGCGGTGCTAATTACCGTCTCCATGATTAGCTCATAGTCGTCATCACCCGTCACCGAGCCAGACGTGACATCCGCCATGACGTGTTCGTGGCTAGTGACGTGACGCACGCCGGTGCCAGCCTCGTCCCTCGTCACCAAATGGTCACTAGTTGCCAAGCCATCACGAGGTCTACCTGTCCCCTCCTTCAGGGTATTAGTATCCTGCAACACGTCTTGGAGGGCAGCGTAGTGACCCGTGAAGGGGTCACTATACGTGGCGACACCGTCCTGGGTGAGAGTCACCTGGTGCGGGCCATGATGGCTGGCCTCCTGGGCCACAGGTGTCGCTGGAGGATATAATGTGGTGCGCTCTAGTGTGACGGGTGACACCAAGGTGACGTCAGGCGTCACCCAGTGGTCCCCAGAGATAACACTGTGCTCTGGAGTGAGCGGCTCCTCGTCCTGGTTCACACCCCCGGTGGAGGGACGACTTGTCTCTCTCTCGTCCTCCACCTCCTCGTCCTGGCTAGACACAGTACCATCCTTCGCTGAGACAATACCATCCTTCGCTGAGACAATACCATCCTTCGCTGAGACAATACCATCCTTCGCTGAGACAATACCATCCTTCGCTGAGACAATACCATCCTTCGCTGAGACAATACCATCCTTCGCTGAGACAATACCATCCTTCGCTGATCCTACTGTGACCTCCTTCATACTACTGTTATCAGTGCCTTCTACACCGGTAACTATATCATCGAGCACTGTAATTTCACCGTCACCATGGTCGAGGACAGTGTTCACGAGAGTAACATCATCAGCCATCACTGTAGTTACCATAACACTGTCTACATCACGTCTCTCACCGTGCTCTTGTGTCACCGTCAAAGTCCCGCCATCCGCCGGACTTATTATGTCCCACACTGGCCCTTGTGGCAGTGTGGGCACCATAGGGGTGATGCCCTCACCAGCCTGGGCACCACCCCGCACTCTGCTCGTCACCTTCACATCACTCACACCTCTCACACTCTCTATAACAGTTAAAGCACTGTCTGGCACTGTAGGCATCGTGTCGTCGACATCTTCATGACTCATGAGCACCACAACCTGTGATGGCACTGAAGAAGACACCATATCACTGGCACTCACAACTGTCGTCACCTCAGTTATATCGTTATCCAAAACTGCAGACAGCGTCACATAACTGTCTGTGGCACTGTGTAAGTCTGTCACTACATCTGACACTGTAGTTATGGCTTCGCCATCATCTTCACCATTATCAAGAGTATTTACATCACCGGCGGACAACGTAGGCGCCGCACCACCAATGTCCGTCACAGCACCAAATTTACTTTCAGTTAGTAATATCGCTTTTTCTGCATCTTCTCTGGCACTTTCCTGCACGACAGTGGCACCCTCCTTATCGTCAGTGGTATCGGGCACTACTGTAAGGGTACTAGTGGCATCACCCACGCTAGTGGTGAGGGTGTTGAGGTCCTCAGTTGGGTTCCAAGTGCTATTGGGGCCACTTACAATTGTCTCGTCTCGAACCAAACTTGACCATGTCGCTACAGTTTCTACCTCCACCGTTGGCACTTGTGTCTGGCCCTTCTCGTCCGACCCGGACTCAGTTGTGGCACTCGTGGTGTCATGTAGACGGCTCCAGGTGTGGGTGTGGGGGGTGAGGGGGTGGTCGAGGTGGGTGTGGTGGAGGTGGGTGGAGGTCAGCTGTGGTCCACCCTCGCTCAGCACACCTGTGGAGAACACAAACACACTTTAGTCAGCGATGATACGCTACATCACAAACATCACATTATGTCAACAATGGTATATGTGTGCTGCCACACCTATGATATACAAGTACAGTACATGGTTATGTCAGATAATGCAGTACATGCACCTCTGTGAGTGCGCACGCACGCGCACACACACACACACTGAAAGAATGGTCCAACAAATGGGTACTAGAGTTTAACTCGAGCAAGTGTAAAGTGATGAAGATAGGCGTAGGGAGCGTGAGGCCAAACACAATGTAGCATTTGAAAAACGAAATCCTTCAGGAGTCAGGAAGAGAGTTGTTGTTTTACATTCAGGTAATTGTTCCAAGTAGCACGGACTATGGTGAGCCCGTAGTGGACTTACCTGGCACAGGAGCGGGGCTGTGACTGACACTGAAAAGAACTTTTACAGTATCAGAGTAGTTAACAGACGTAATGCATTATGCAGTGATGTGGTGGAGGCTGACTCCATACACAGTTTCAAATGTATATATGATAGAGCCCAGTAGGCTCAGGAACCTGTACTAGTTGAATGACAGTTGAGAGGCGGGACCAAAGAGCCAGAGCACAACCCCCGCCAGCGCCGCCCCATCGTCGAGCCCCATCTAAAAAACACATCAGGATGTCCGAAAAGGTGCAGAAGTTTGCAACGAGACTCGTCCTAGAGCTGCGAGCGATGAGGTACCAAGAGAGACAAAGAATTAAACATGACAACGTTGGAAAGGAGGAGGGACAGGGGATGGGATATGATACCGACGTATAAAATACATAAAAGGCATTGACAGGGTGGAAACAGATAAATTGTTTACAATATCAACAGAACAAGGGGGCACGGATGGAAGCTTGAGACTCAGATGTGTCATAGAGATGTTACAAAGTTTTCCTTTAGCACAAGAGTAGTGGGAAAATAGAATGACCTAAAGGAGCAGGTTGTAGAGGCAAACTTCAGTCATAACTTTAAAAGCAGCTATGATAGGGAGATAAGCCAGGAGCATTAGGCAACCACTGGCTAGAAAAACGGGGTCCAAGAGCTAAAGCTCGTTCCTGCCGGCACAAATAAGTGAGTACACACACACACACTGATATTCAAGACCATCCTTCAAAAATGTCAAAAGAAAAGTTCTTTGCCATAAAGTTAATGATGCAGGACCAGGAGACCAAACACAGGACCGGGAGACCAAACACAGGACCAGGAGACCAAACACAGGACCAGGAGACCAAACACAGGACCAGGAGACCAAACACAGGACCGGGAGACCAAACACAGGACCAGGAGACCAAACACAGGAACGGGAGACCAAACACAGGACCGGGAGACCAAACACAGGACCAGGAGACCAAACACAGGACCAGGAGACCAAACACAGGACCAGGAGACCACACACAGGACCAGGAGACCAAACACAGGACCAGGAGACCAAACACAGGACCAGGAGACCAAACACAGGACCAGGAGACCAAACACAGGACCGGGAGACCACACACAGGACCAGGAGACCACACACAGGACCAGGAGACCAAACACAGGACCGGGAGACCAAACACAGGACCGGGAGACCAAACACAGGACCGGGAGACCAAACACAGGACCGGGAGACCAAACACAGGACCGGGAGACCAAACACAGGACCGGGAGACCAAACACAGGACCAGGAGACCAAACACAGGACCAGGAGACCAAACACAGGACCAGGAGACCAAACACAGGACCAGGAGACCAAACACAGGACCAGGAGACCAAACACAGGACCAGGAGACCAAACACAGGACCAGGAGACCAAACACAGGACCAGGAGACCACACACATGACCAGGAAACCACACACAGGACCAGGAGACCAAGCACAGGACCGGGAGACCAAACACAGGACCGGGAGACCAAACACAGGACCAGGAGACCAAACACAGGACCGGGAGACCAAACACAGGACCAGGAGACCAAACACAGGACCAGGAGACCAAACACAGGACCAGGAGACCAAACACAGGACCGGGAGACCAAACACAGGACCAGGAGACCAAACACAGGACCGGGAGACCAAACACAGGACCGGGAGACCAAACACAGGACCGGGAGACCAAACACAGGACCGGGAGACCAAACACAGGACCGGGAGACCAAACACAGGACCAGGAGACCAAACACAGGACCAGGAGACCAAACACAGGACCAGGAGACCAAACACAGGACCAGGAGACCAAACACAGGACCAGGAGACCAAACACAGGACCAGGAGACCAAACACAGGACCAGGAGACCAAACACAGGACCAGGAGACCAAACACAGGACCAGGAGACCAAACACAGGACCAGGAGACCAAACACAGGACCAGGAGACCAAACACAGGACCAGGAGACCAAACACAGGACCAGGAGACCAAACACAGGACCAGGAGACCAAACACAGGACCAGGAGACCAAACACAGGACCAGGAGACCAAACAGGACCAGGAGACCAAACAGGACCAGGAGACCAAACACAGGACCAGGAGACCAAACACGGGACCAGGAGACCAAACACAGGACCAGGAGACCAAACACAACAACCACATGGGTCCCGTAATACGCCATGACCTCCTGATCCTTGACCCGCCCCCCCCCCCCCACTACCTTCTTTCTATCCCCTTCCCACTTCCCTCTTTCTTGCCTCCTATTACCTTCCTCTTGTCCTTTCTCCCTTTCCTTCTTCCTATCCCCCCTCCCTCATTCCCACTAACCAAGCTCCCTCCCTCCCTTTTTCACCCTTACAGGTCCCCAGTGTTCTCCTGGGGCTCCCTCGTCCCCTGCACGCTGCCAACGACCACTTGTGACCTTGTGACCTCCTCCTGGCCTCCAGGTGACCTCTGCGCCACCCTGGAGGAGGCTGGGTCATCTCCCAGCAAGTGGTAATTACAGAGTACCGCTACACGAGTCAAGAGACGCCCTTGGAATGGTGCAGGTTCAAGACTGTCAGAAGGTTGACGGATGGTACGGTCGTTAGGGCACGAGGTCCAGTCACACCTCACCAGGTCCTCTAATTGGTCCTTTACTTCATCTGGTCTTACTGCTCTTTCAGTCTTCCGTCTTATCACACCTGTTCCATTAGAAATAGTAAATCTGAGGACACTTCTGGTTCAAACTTAAACAATTTCTGGAACCTTTTATTGGTTTCTTCACACACTTCTTTATCATTCTTTGTGTAGCCTCGTCTTGCGTCTCCTGATGTCTTGCTCATTGACCGAGGTCCTCCTCGTGTGGCTGTAAGGTAGAGGCTGATCCTCGGCTGTTGTCACTCTCACACCCCCTTCTCTCCTCCTCTCTCAAGTCCTGTCTACTCAATTCCTCGCTCTTGTGTTTATATTGGCGTTCTCCTGTCTTCTGTGCTCTCTCTATTTTATCCAAGCTCTTTCACATCTTTTTTTTTTTTTCTCTAAGCATTGTGTATTAAACCATGGGTTTGGTCATTTTTTATCTTGGTTCATTTACCCGTTAGGTGTGGGACCGGGGGGGGGGGGGATTTAGCTACACAGCATTTAAGTATCACAAAACATGTATTAAATTATTCACCAATAATCATAAGGCATTCCCGAAACGGTGCATATAATTAGTGGCTTCATGTAATCACTGTAATATAATCCCCTGTACGTGTTCCTCCACACATACCCATATATTTTTGTGTGCTAATGGAAATGTCTTAATAATAGTCTCTCTAGACACAACCCTGCAGTAAATCACCGGCCGGTATTTCCTCTAGGATCCCTCAACAAACCCTGACCACCACTTGTAACGACCCCAGCGTCTTCGCGCCGTTACAGTATCGACAACAGGGAAGAGTTACTCCCACACTACAATGTTGTTTAACCCGTGACCCGTTCTCCCAGGGCAAGACCCAAGACCTCTGGCAACCGCAAATGTTGCCACTGCTTGGCGGGAATTACACGGAGCTCTAGCTGGCAACATTAAGCACTGCCTCGTGGGATTACAGGGAGCTCCAGGTGGCAAGATCAGGCGCTTGCCGCTCTTCACCTTAATACCTCACATTGGTTGTAACGCTTCCTCACATTGGTCATATACCGCCATGGTCACATATACCGCCATGGTCACATATACCGCCATGGTAATATATATACCTGCGTTCATATATACCTCCATGTTCATATATATCCAAAACAAAACTCCCACACAGGGAATAGCTCGACTGACAGCTGAAGCTTACAAGGTGTGCTTGAAGCACGTGCCTGTGAGGAGGGGCAGAAAGAGGACCACTCTAGAAAGAGAACGCAGACGACTGTACAGGAGGAAATAATCACGGAGTGCTTAAACAGAGACGACTATCACAAGCAAGGAAAATAACTCTAAACAGGGTGATCGAAGATCTAGAACAAACGTTGAAGCGATCATACGAGTCTGAGGAAATGGAATTGGAGCAGAAAGCTATACAAGAGATAAAGACAAATCCAAAATATTTTTTCACATACGCAAAATCAAAATCCAAAACCTCGACCAGTATTGGACCGTTAATTACAAGTGAAGGTACGTACACAGAGGACAACAAAGAGATTAGTGAAATTCTAAGAAGCCAGTATGAGGCTATGTTTAGCACACCAATAAACAACATGAAAGTTGATGACCCAGACAGCTTCTTTATGAACAGTGCTGGTTTATGTTCCCAGGACAACATGGATTTAGAGCGGGAAGATCCTGTTTGTCACAGTTACTCAACCACTGACAGAATCACAGGAGCCTTAGAGGAAAAGCAAAATGCAGATGTTGTATGCATAGATTTTGTAAAGGCATTCGATAAATGTGACCATGGAGTGATAGCACATAAAATGAGACAAATAGGAATAACGGGTAAAGTGGGGCGTTGGATTTTCCGCTTTCTGTCAAGCAGAATGCTGAGAGTGACTGTTAATCAGGTAAGATCACCCCCAAGTGCAGTGAAAAGCTCTGTACCTCTGGGCACAGTCCTTGCACCACTGCTATTTCTTATTCTT